TTTAATATCTTTGCTGCTGTCACTCTTTGCTTGTTATCTTTCAGTTTCTTTACAATTTTTTTCATCCTCACTATCTCTCTGTCAGAAAGCTTCTTCAGACCTCCCCTATTGTCTTGTTCTGGCTTCTTATACTTTAATATGTTGCTAATTGATGATGGTGCCATTCCTAAAACTCTTGCTGTTGCCCTTAATTTGCCTATTTCACTATATTTCTTGATTACCAAATCCCTTATATCTTGACTCCAAACCAAAATTAAAAAAAATACAATATAAATTATGTACAGTAATTTTTAATATTCAATAACTAATTAACTTAACTTAAAACAGGAAAAAAGTTGAAAAATTTTTTGTTTGAGATGTCTATTTGAATGTCAAACCCAATGTCAACTCAATGTTCCAATAAACATGTCGCATGGCCAAATAAAGAAAAAACTTATGAAAATTATTAAAAATTTTTGCTAATAATGTTCACAAAATATTATCATTTTCTTAAATTTTTTTCAATATTATGTCAATTTAACTCTTTTTCTATATAAATTTAGACAAAAAATACTAATTTGCAGAGGACAAACAATTTTAACTGTTAATTAAAAATTGGCCTATCAAAATTTACGATGTCCATATATACATGTCGCCCACTTTATGATTAGAATTAAGCAGAATTTTCTTAGTGTTAGTGGCTCCATCTATGTTGTCTTTAATTGGAACGTTACAAATCAAACAATTCAAAAACTAAGATATTAACATGCCTTAAATCTTTAAATTAATGTCTAACATTTATTCAAACTGTAATATTTGGTTTTGGGTAAGATATGCTTGTCAGTGTATGATCAAATGCAAGAGCCGCGAGCGCCATCTTGTGACGAAGTAGACTGATAACCTCACAACCTCTTTGTCCTATTAAATTAACTAGATTTATTTATTGTTTTAGATTCATATTTGACCAGTACACCAACAAATCCATATCTTAAATAAACACAATTTTTAAAATAGAAATGAAAAGCTCTAATTCTATTAAAAGAATAGAATTTACAACTATTGCGCAAGCTAAATGAAATTCAACTGTTATCAATTGTTAAAGGGTTCAACAGAATACTTTTGTCCTATTTAGATTAAACTTTATCCAATAGTATATAAATGTTGTCTGCTATTGATAGTACTCATTGAGTAAAACAGATTTTTAATTAAAATGATTATTGGGTTATTTTTTCTAAGCCAATTGGTAATTTTGGCATCAAGTTCAAATGTGTTGCTGTTAACACCGCCAATGACAAAATATTCAACAAAGAGTCATGCAGATATTCTTATTGCTCTTGGAAAAGGATTGATTGAATCTGGCCATAGAGTTAGTATTTTAAGTCAAGGAACCAATCGAATAGACAAACCTGGTAATATATCACTTTTCGACATACATTCACCAGTTTCTAATGAACAAGTGGAAATGGTTGGAGAGGCAATAAGAAACAGCTCAATTGAAATGTTATATCAAAATGTATCTTATATAACAATGGATAAGCAATTTAAAGCTATTTGGTCTAGTTTTATCGATGATTGTCGAGTAATGCTATCAGATCCATCAGTTGAGAAACGACTCAAAGAATTTGATTTAATCATTGTTGATCATTTTTTCTTTTGTGGGTTTCTATTGGTTGAAAAATATAAAAAACCATTTGTTATGTTTGAATGTTCATCATATTTAACATATATAGAAGCTGCTGTACCTGGACAAATGTCTTGGGTTCCCGCATTTATGAGCTCTTTAAATGATAAAATGACAATAATGGATAGATTGAGAAATATCATTTCTAATATCTATGTAAGATTTTTCTTAGGAGCGTTTGACAGGAATTTTGAGAAATTGAAGGCTGAATTGAATATTTCACCTGGTAAAAGCATATCTCAAATTCGACAAGAAGCTCAACTTTTCCTTATGAATTCTGACCATATCTTTGAATTTCCTCGTCCTTTAACGCCAAATGTAATACATGTTGGTGGTATTTTAGCATCTCAGCCAATAGATACTACAACTATTCATCCGAAATTCCATGAAATTACCACCAAAAGGTAAAAAAAACTATTCTTAGTGCTTACCTTCTTAATTTAACAATAACTGTATGATTCACAGATTTGGTATTATTGCATTTGGCAGCGCTTTGAACTTTTGCCATCGTCCTAACCTGTTAGAAGATATTCGTAAAACTCTTGTAGAATTTAAAGATATTCAATGGATTTGGTCGTTAAAGTGTCAACTGAATAATGAAAATTCGAATATTCATATTTTCGAATGGATTCCTCAAGCATACCTTCTTTCTAGAGAGAATTGTGTTCTATTCATATCACACGGTGGTTTAAATTCCATTTATGAAGCAATGTATCACGGAACACCAGTTTTAGTTATCCCACTTCCTTCAGATGCAATGGATAATTCAGTTCGTTTGAAAAGACACGGAATGCTGGAAATTTTGCCATTCAGTAAAAAAGGTGTATCTTCCTTTTATGATTACATTCTTAAGATGGTAAGAGGAACATCTTATCTGGAATCGGCAAAGAGAGTCTCCTCTCTCCTTAACTCTCAAAAGCCAAAACCTTTAGAAAAAGCTGTATATTGGATTGAGTATATTTTAAAGTTTGGTGGTAGCCATCTAAGACACTCTGCAATGGATATGCCAATCTATAAACTCTATAATTTAGATTTGCTAACAATTGCACTAATCCTGTGTTTCTTAACTATTTGGGTAATGAAAAAAATATTCATTTTCTTTTTAAGAAAATGTTTCAACTTTTTCAAAAAGTCAAAAAAAGATTGACACAAGTTTTGTGGTTTTTTTTTGATTATTTTTCTTTTTTAAAAGAAAAATGACAAATTTATTGAAATTTTAAAATTTTATCTCAAAAAATATTGACATTCTGCATTAAATATTGAAATATTTAATAAATAGAATGAAAACTGTTCAAAACACTTGAATTAGCAAAATTCTTATAAAAATTTGAAAGAGATCTAATTTAGAACTGTTAAATTTTTACAGCACATTCTCAATTCGAAAATGCTTTTTAATTGGTCCACACCAAGCATAGTATTTCTAACATCAAAAATTTGTAGAGTATTGACCAGGGATGCATGTGAAGAAATTCCTTGACATATTATTTGAAATCCTGTTTCCATTTCATGATTAAAAGATAAATTTAATGATTCAAGTACAGTGCAATGAGTTAAGATTTCCTGAAACGCTTTGCAGTCATAACTCCTAAAGTGTGACTTTGATAAATTAATACTTTTTATAGTTTTACAATTCTTCTTCAAAATAGGAAAAACACAAAAAGGAAGCACTTGACTAATATTTTTTCTAATTCCATCCTTTCTTAATACCTTATTCCTTCTCTTTCTTCTTCCATTTGAGACAGTAAATTGTTCAAGTTGATTACAGCTGGTCAATATTTGATTTATCTTACAAGAATCAGACGAGAAACAGCAAATAAATTGAATCTCTTTTAAATTAGAGAGTTGTTGATAATTTTCTTGGATCATATCTTCATCAAATTCAAAATTACAATGAAAAAAGGATAATTTTTTAACTGAAGATGGCAAAATAAACATTTCTCTTAAATTAAAACAAGTAAAAGTAATAGAATTTAGAGTATGATCCTGTAAAATATTAAAATTAACATCTTTTTGAAAACGTCTCCTATCCAAATTAACATCTGTCAAATGAGTTGTCTCAGTGGAGAAAAATTTCAATTCATTGTTTCCCACACAGTTTAAATTTTCTGTGCAAGATTTTCTAAAAATCATATTTGAAATATGGTACGGTAAATAACAAGAACTATTCTTGCATAATATAGTAAGATAAGGAAGATTATCCGCCACTTTTTCTAATGAATTATCCACAAGAGATCTTATTCCCATTCTCTTCGTTAATGATTATATTAATATGTAAAATAGCCAATTTTTCTTAGAATTTTTTCTCAAGTTCATTGGTTATGCCATGTTTTATACGAAAGGAATTTAGTTCAGATTTTCGTGCAATGTCCATACTTATTGGAAGATTAGAAGTGACTCATTTCAATACTGACTAACATTTATTACAGCTGATTAGGCAAAAAAATTTTCCAGTGTTCACTTGCCTCAAATTTCTTGGACAAATGTCTAATTCTAAATATAGAAAAAAAACTGTTTATAATCTAAAACATTTTTTATTTTCACCAATTGAATTATCTTATTTTGTCATATTTTGATAACATTTTTCAAAAACAAAAGAAAATATATGAAAGCATATTTCAATATTCAGTAATTTGAAAGGTTACACTAAGGGAATTTTGAATAAAACAATTGTTTGGTAAGAGCAGTGAAAGAACAAGGTTTGGGGGAAGGCAGAAATTGAAAATGGTATTATGAAGTAAAAACAAACACAGTGTAGTTTATAATGAAGAAACATAAAACAATGCAAATGATGTTAACTTCCATGTATCACTATAAAGATTGTGTATAGTCTCAACTGTTACAATATCATCTTTTTCCAATTTTAATATTCCTCCTCTGCTCATACTTTCAAATGCTGTTCTAGCCTTCAATCTTTGCATACTTAAGATTGCTCTGTTGTTCACTCTTATAAGTATTGAAGTTTGTATTCCTGGCCATGAACCAGCAGATACATCAACGTGATACAAACCTGGAACTGCAGCCTTATATGTATTATCTTGGGAATTCCATCCAGAATGTGTATCCAATACAACTCCATCAAAACCAATTTTTATTCTTGACTGTGTGACTAAATTTGTTGTTCTATAGGCATAAAATGCTGGTTTATCTCCTGATGTATTTAATTGAAATCCTGCTATATATGTATACAAAGAGGCTGATCTGGAGGTGCCTTTTACTAGTGTTAGAGATATCCTGTCATTTGCATTAAGCTCCATAACAATCCCTCTTGAGACTTGATTATCTTGAATACTTGTATGACCTTTTGCCACAGATCTTTCAAAAGATGTTGAAGCGCCATTTAATGTTAAGCTTACAATCCCATCTTTAAAACTTTCAAAACCTGTTCCAAAATGAATATAATACCATCCCTTTGCTGACACTGTTAATTCTGTTCTGGCAGCATTTAAAAATGCACCCTTTATAGAAACAACCTTTGAAAGTGGTATTTGATTTCTCACTGTTGTAAAAGTTGTATCTCTTCCAGCAAAAAATGCAACATCAGATTCATACAGAAAACCAGACCAAGATGTTTCAGAGCCTAGTCTACTGCTGTAGGCTAATGATCGAAAATCTGAAGAAATGTATGGCTTGGAGAGTGGAGTTAAAGAATATACTCCAGATCTAGTAAAAGTGTCCTTGAAATAGCTTACTTGTTGATAAAGATTAGCTGTCACGCCTACATTTCTATTTCTTAATAATAAAGTAGTTTCGCTATTTCTAGATGTAGTGGCAGTATTTGAAATATAATAGAAACCACTTTTCTTAATATTTAATTCATTTGTAGATGCATTGAATAAATTTCCGTTATCATGATTTATTCTTGTCCACCTCACCTTTCCTATTGGAAGGCTTGCACCTCTGATTGATGAAACCATAAATGCTGGCTGTTTATTTAAATCACAAGGAGGATTTGTACATAATTCAACGTCTACTGAATTTCCTGGGCATTCATCTCCCCCATTGGATGGTGGAGGATTTGTGCAAGTTCTTGAACGAGTTCTTAAACCATCTCCACAATCTGGTTCACATCCACTCCATTCTGACCATTCAGACCATCCTCCTGGAAGTGGACATTGTGATTCTTCAGCAGTGACACATAGTCTTGTTGAACATTCGCGAACATTTAATGATGGACTGAAAAAGTAACCTTGGGGACATTGTTGAGGCCAAGCAACTCCATTGTAACAATGATAATATTGCCTACAATCATTCTTATTAGGAAATGTTCCATTTAGGCCATCTTCACAGTCAGCATTTTTTGTATAACAAGATCTCTCAAAATTGTTTACTGTATCATCATCATCATCCTTAGAGCACTCAGGAGCATAATCTGATAAAATTTTTGTTGATGAATTTCCTCCTGGACAATCAGCCAAATGCGGCTCAACACATAAAGAATATTTACAATTAGTTAAAGAAACTGTAAAGAAAAGTCCAGGTGGACATTGCTGAGGATGGGCTGTACCATTAATGCAATGATAATAAATTCCACAATATTCAGGATCAGGATAAGCCCCATCAACTGGTTTCAATTCAGAATTGAGTGGACAAACAAAATTGGCATTGTTCCATTCCACCAATGATATTACTGAAGTAAACATTATGTTGAATTTCAAGGAATATTTGAAAAGAAATAAAAAACTTACTTGTTAAAGTAATTAAATATGAAAAATGCATATTTGTAGTTTGAATGAACACGAATGAATGGCTTTCCTTTATATAGGAATAAGAATATATTATTATATACTATATTATCTTTAATCTTGATAAGAAATTTATCGGTTTTATCTCTCAAAGTTCAATTGTTTGTAAGCACAATTCTGATCTGAAATACTATAATATAGATACTATCTAAAATGTCATGGGTTGAAGAAATAAATTACAATCATTAAAGACAGCTCTTGTTTAATCTGTTAAAAGAATGAAAGATTTTCCTGGCAGTAGAAGAAAAACTTCAGAGAGGTTAAACTCTTGGCCTAGATTAATGATATTTCTAGAGTCAAGAAAATCTCAAATGTATTACTTTTTACACTGTGTTAGGGCTAAATTAAGTGTTAGCATACTGATATTACTCAAAGTAGTTTGTAAGAACCAGAAGTCAAAATGATAAAATTTGCAACCTTTACTTCGCAATCCTATCATTTATTTGTCTAAAAAAATAAAGCTTAAAATTGAATATTAAACTTAATCGGTTAAGAAATTCTGCGTCTTATCTGTTTTCAAGTGTTTGATCTTATCTTTATTGCTTAGATATAAGATCTTTCATGTTAAAGAAACGTCTTATATTTTGTTACACTATAGTTCAAAGAAAGAAATGAATTAGCAAAAGTTGATAATTGCTAATGACTAAAGATTAATGATGTCTGCAAATCAAAATATCTAACAAAGCTTAAGTTCAGCTTGTATGGAAATGCATTTGAATTAGAAGAAAAATATTTTTTTTAATGCTGTGTATTAAGAAGAAAAATCATTCATTTATCAATCAATTTTCCATATTTATCAAAGAAAGATATCAATGACGAGATAATCATTTAATTCATTTCGCAATACTCTCCACTATATCCTAACTTGCAGTCACAAGTCGGTTTTGTAAAATCATCAACACTTCCTGAATTTTCCCAGATGTGTGAGCGTTCAACATTACAATATCCTATTTCAAGAAAATAATTTATAGACTATATAATCAAGTTTAAGTATAAAATAAAACTGAGATTACAAACCTTCATTTTGACAAGGATTGTTAGTTATACAAGGACTGAGAATTTCACAAAATTTTCCACCATATAATTTGGGGCATCTACAAGAAGTTAAACCAAATGTCACAAAGCCTATTCCGCCATTGACGTGATTCATATGACGTTCCACTTCACATATTCCTTGCAAAATAATAATTTAATTGTTTCATATTCAAATAACCAATTGATTTATTTACCTCCATTCTTACAAACATCTGTTTTATAGCATGGATTTTCAAGTTCACACTCATTCCCTCCAAATTGAGCAAGGCATTCACATTTGCCAACAAATGTGCGTATTCCATTTGTGATAAATTCTTGAATGTTGCATTGTCCTTTTGTAAGACATATATAATGATTTAAAGAATTTTGAATTTGTTCAAAAGCTTACCTTTGCCATTACATGATTTTACATTACATGGATTTTCAATCTGGCAATGTTTCCCTAAATGCGTCTTTGGGCAGATGCAATAATACATTCCTAATTCTCCATAACTTACACATGTACCTTATGTATAGTGTTAATGTTACTTATTAAAATTAGTGCAATATTAAAAGACTTATACCATTATTGCTGCAAGGATTGTTTAAACATCCATTAGTAATTTCTTCTGAACATGTTAAGCCTTTAAATTTTCCAATACATTCACAAAACACTTCGCTCATTGATGTACTTTTATTTTTAACTTGATAACATTTACCTTTTGAAAAAGGTTATTCAAAGATTAAAAATTTAAAGATTCGGATATTTTAACTGCTCATACCATTGTTTGCACATGGATTGGAGTCGCATAGATTAGGTGTTGGCAAATCACAATGTTTACCTTCAAAACCTTTAGTACATTGACATGTATATTCTCCAAGAATCCAAGATTTTGTACATTTTCCTATCAGTTAAAAGTAGATCTTGAACTCGATAAATTTATTTATTATTGTCTTACCATTATTCTGGCAAATGTTTTCCAAACAAGGATGCTTATTTTGGCATCTGTCTCCAAAATAATCTTCCTTGCACATACAGTTCACTTGATAGGCAACAATTGAATTTGGTAGAAGCATTTGTGAGCTATGACATGTTCCTATAAAAAGAGGTAATACACATTATAGACAAGATTTAACAATTATACTTCTGAAAGCAAAACTACCTTCGTTTTCGCAGTAATTTTCAATTTTACATTTATCATCCATCATAAATTCGCAAAAAGAACCAGTAAAGCCATTGGAACATTCACAATAAAATGAAAATTCTGTTGACTTACAAATTCCACCATTTTTACATTGGTTCATCAAGCAAAAATCATTTACAGGCATTCCATTATTTCCAGGTCCAACTGGTAGAAAATGACATTTCACAAATAATGCCACCATCAAAAAAAGTAAAAATGTTTTCTCCATTTTGAATTATTGAGTTCAAGTTAGCAAAGTTAACTATAACAGAATAAGTTTGTTAATGAAGAATTATCTCAAAATCCTTCAGAATTTATACTTTTTTAGACTATAATGATTCACACATTGGGTAAACACACACCTATTGAACAAAGCAAGGGTGATGTAAGATTTTCCAACATAAGCTTATATTTTGTGTTGACCAAGTCATTATCTTTGTTTATTCATACTAAAAGTTATTGTTAACAAAATGTTAAAATATTGCAAAAAAAATTATAACTGCTACGTTTTCATTTTTATGTTTGCTGTTAATCTTTATTCTAATTTATGTAAATAGGTCAAGTAATCAAAAGAAATTTTTCTATTTTTAGAGTGAGTATATGTTTCATATTTATAATTTTCTCGAAATATTAACATGCACTAAACTCTGTTTTTATTACAAATTAACACTTGAAATTACAAATTACAAATTGTGCTTTTTAGTTGAGTAAAAGTTTGATAGCTTTAGTTTTTCTCAAATATTACTATTCTTTTGAGTTTATTGTCATTAAAAATTAGTTACTTTTATTATACAAAAAATTTAGTATTTAAACATTTTCATGTAGAATTGAAAATTTAATTTTCCAATTGATTAACTGAGTATTTGTGTTTATATATTGTAATACTACAAAAAGAAAAATCTTGCATAATACACTGGAGATAACAATGAGGATTTTTTATGTGTTATAGTCTGAAATTAATGAATATTTAATTAGCCCTAATCCTTAGGGGACATTTTCTCCAGCTCCTATATCTCTTAACAAAGAGTTTTGAAATCTATTTATCCAGAGAGTCATGTGAAAAGCGATGAGATTGTCATTTTTTGACACTTTGAGCAGTAATCTTTATAGATATATCTTGTTAATGGGCTAGGCATTACTTAATAATTTTCTCTGTTTCGAATATTCAATAATAATGGAGGATTTGCTAAGATTGCAGACACTCAATGAAGAATTTTATAAAGAAATTTCTCGCTTAACTCAAAATGTAACATTCACAAGCCTTATGAAATTGTATCTTTTCTCTTCATCTCCTTGTGAGTTAGTCGTTTGTTGAATGGTATAAAACAATTGAATAAAGTACATTTATTGCTTGTTAAGCATTGAAGAATTGGTTAAAAAAATATCATTTTTAGAGTAAAATTGAGCTGAATTTGTTGGCTAAAGAAAGTTGATTAATTGCCGCTCGACAAAAGATTGCCTGAGAACACTTGGATAAGATTATTACAAACTGAATGCGACAGAAAAAGGTTCACAAATCAATGTTTTTCTCCGACCCTAACCCAGCCCTTGCCAAAGGTAACCTTCAGAAGAGACCCTCCTAATTACAAATCAGCTGCTGTCATGTTCTTCCCGACCATTTTCAATCCAAAATTTAGCCTCCAAATATGTCTACGATTCTCATTTTAACTTTTCTTTTGGACATAATTGAAATGTTATCCAAACAAAATAACTAATCTGGCTTTATGGATTAGATATTCTATATCCCGGGCCCATCACTTTTGCCTCTTTCTTTTGCTTTTATCAAAGTTGCCATAACATTCACAATAAAAAGACTGTTGCCATGAAACCAGTTGTGTTGTTAAGTAACCTGTTGTCAAGTGCCTGAAATATGCTGAAATCACCTGTTTTTGGTCATTTTGTAACCTGTACTTAGCACAGGGTCAGGGTTATTCTAAAGTTTCTCATACAAGTTGTGACAAAACTCAAAATAAAAAATAGCTATTAGCTATGTACACATTTAGGCAGTTTGTAGGTACTAAACACATAAGCTTGTAACCAGGCTCACAAATTCACACAATACACCCAAATTGTTACATTTCATTCATCAATGGAAAGCAATATTGAAAGAGTATTATAGAGTACTCTACAGGCCTAAAACTACAACATACACTATTTAAACTAAGTTGTAAAAGTATTTTACAACTTAGATGTTAACCCTAATTATTATACACATCATATTTAATGAATATTAATTATATCTTCCACTATTCTATTTATATTTGGAGCTTTTAGATTATTGTCACTTTTCAACAGTATTGTATGCACAATACTATATTGGATGATTAAGTTTAATACTTTTATCCTACCAGTCCTTTACACAGAAACATATTATCTTACACAAACAATTATTATTAATAATTTGTTGTATATTAAAACGGCATCAAGTTGACCTTTTCCTATTTTTGTGTTTTGGAATCAATCCAACTTCTATTAATAATTGTTACATCTTAGGCAACTTTCTGACCTACTAAAATAGGGAGCAAAAGTTCTCCAAGATAAAGAAAAAGTAACAAACATGGAAGTATATTTGAACTTTCCCTTTATCCAAATTGTTACATTTGTTTGTGTCAATATTTTTATCTGTGAACTGTGAACTATTGGAAAAGTATATAAACCCTACGAATTTAACAGTAGTCAGTTCAGTTTTCTAACCATCAGCTGGTTGTTCAAACTTGCTTGTTTAGAACTAGAAACTCATTTACTCAAATACATATTCTTTGAATGAAATACTGGTGTTTGTTGGTTAATTTTTACTGGAATTACATTTATTAAGACTACTTGTGGACGAACTTGAAAGGTTCTATTTGGACCAGTACTTTGGCACATTGGTAAATGATTGGAGAGGACGAATTTGATAGTGACGAACTAGGACTTCCTACAATTACAATACAACAAAGTACAAGCTAATTTCTTAAGCAACTTGCTTCATATAAAAATAAAGATTCACTTTTGCTCAGTGCAAAGCATATTGAATGTATTCCATCTAATTGTTGATACCTATACTAATAAGGATGTAATTTTTTTGTCCATATGGTAATTCATGAATTATAAAAAGTTAAAATTACAAAGCTGAGATTGTATGGAGAGGGAATCAATGTGTAAAAAGAGTAAGTTTAAAAGTTTGATTTGAAGATGAAAGATTAATATTTTTCCTGTATTATTGTCAATTGTAAATAAACTATTCAGCATTTAATATAAAATTTTCTTAAAATTTTCCAATTTTTCAACAGTTCCAGATGACAGTTCATGTAGAAAAGCATTAATAAAAACTGGATAAGATGAACTATGGTCAAGTATTAAAAGAGAAATAGCATTATCAAGGGCACCTATGAAAATGATAATAACATTGATAGAATATCATATTGAGATTATGATTTTGATGACGTAATTTTAGGAAAAGAATGCGAAGTTGTTTTAATGAGTAATATCTATAATCATTTAGTCAGCTTTTATACTTTGGGGAAAGGTCATGGTAAACATCCTCAAATATTTCGAGCTTATGTCTTCAGTTAAACAAATGACTGACAGAAAAGAGATTGCTATTGATTTATACTTAGCAGACTCCCGATTAAGAATTACATGAAATGATTAGGTTGGGGTTAGGGTAAAATCACTTCTTTCCATTACAAAGCTACAAAGCTATTATACAAAAATCTCAACTCAAATTAGAGTCATTAGGTGTTATAAAATTGATTATATTAACGAATCGTCAAGTTTTATTCAAAGTCAGTGACATAGACCTGAATCACAGATTTTGTATCATTCATCTAAAGATTCGCAGGATGATCATGATCGATAATTAAAGACATTATCAGTGTTTTTTAAAATCTACGTAGATCTAAGCCATGGAATAAGTCAAAAAAAATTAGCCATTAATTATAAATTATTGTTATATAAGAAATGATGACAAACATAAATAAATCCATGATTTAAAAAGCCAAGCACATTTCACTATTGAAAAAATATTTCACAGAAGAACAATTGATTAATTTCATCAAAATTATCTATCAGAATTTTAACAGAAACCAAATTTGTTTCAACATCTTCAATATCTTGACAAGAGAAATTGTGTACGAGATATTGACCTTTTGAAGAAGATTTTTCAGGCTGACAAATTCTATTCTCTACAATTTCATTAAATTTAATTTGATAAGTTATGTATATATTAATTTTGACATCAATTCCAATATCTCTTTTGAAAATTATAACTAAATTTGAATCTTTATCAAATAGCCTTTTCCCTTTTCCATTTGTCAATTTGTATTCAAAGTGTGTCATTCTCGCTTTGATAACTGTACAAGTAGGAATACTTTTATCTAGACCATTAATATCATATTGAACATCACATTGTGGATAATTATTTAAATATATCTTTCGTCCTTCTACAAAAGTATGTTTTTGTTAAATAGTCTAAAAAAACTATCAATCAATAAAACAAAGTCTTACCTTTATCTAAAATTTGAACATAGTTCATGATAGAAGCTTTATCATTTTTAAATAATATCTCCCTCATGTCCAAAGGTATTGCTGAGTTTAAAATTGCTAATGTATCTTTATCATAGATCATACCAGAGCCTAATTTTATTTGATTATTAGTGAATATTATCCAAAATTCACTCCACGAATCACAACTCATCAATGGTGAACTTTCGCTAAAATTAATACTATTAAAAACTGGTTCAATAGTTTCAATTGATGATGATTTTTCACCATTTTCAATTATATCAAGCTTCAATGTAAATATTTCGCTTGTACAATTCTTAAATGTCATAATGAATGACGAACAATCGTTAGATTGACCAGACTGGTGACCTTTAACCCTAAACTTTATAGACATAAAATTACCGTGAAGATGTTGAGGTAGACTGTAAACAACATAAGTGTCGTATTGAATTGTATAAATATGTTGATTAAATTCTGAAAAAACCAAAACAGAATTAAAATGATATTAAAGAGAAAATTTTTTACAGACGTTTTGTAAAAACTTTAAAATAATTGAGTCCAATAAGTTCATTTGAGGTAGTATTTGTTATAGTAACCTTAACTGAGGATTCAATAGTTGGATAGTGTGTATAGTTGTAGTAATGATAGAAAACGTCTTGAGGCAAATCTGTTTGTATATCAACAAATCCAGAACTCCATTCCAATTTCATTGTCTTTATATAACGATTTTCATCATATCTAAAATGGTTTACAGTTTCTCTGGTATATTATTCTATTTTACAAGTACAACTATGGGCCTACTATTTGTTGTTTTATACAGTATAGGGCATATACCTATTGGCGTAAGAGTATATGTATGGCTGAGCTGGATATACAAAATCTATTTCGATATAGGAGCCAATGCAACTGGGTTGCGGGAAAATACCACATGCCGGAGCCCAGTATAAATTAGAGCTACTACTTAACGCTTTATGACATTCGTTTCCTATCTCCGAAACGAAACTTTCACAAGTGGCACCAAGATCAATATCGGCTATGTTAATCAAATCTTCTTCATCAATGTCGCTTGTGTCTATGAAATAAAATAAAAAATTCTTTGGAAACCTTTGGAAAAAAAATTACAAAAAACTCTTTACCATTGCTATAGGCGTAAACAAAAATGGTGTTAAAACCAGAGTTCTTACTAGCAGGAAGCGAATTGTAAGGCATAAAACTAATAGCAGTCGAATCAAATCCAACATTCTCTTCAAGTAAAATACAAGTTTTGCCCAGATTGATTTTGTAAATTTTTTGAATATTAGAAGTTTGAAATGTAATTAATACATCGTTAACAATTTGATCACTAGATGTAACTCTTTGAAGAATGCATATTTCATGCACATTGTATGATTTCTTAAAACTTATAACTATTATTCTACCATTACAGAGAGAACCAGAGCAGGATGAAGCCCAATCATTATTTTCAAACCAAATAGGTGTTAAAGCATTTTCACATTCATAGTTAAATTCAGGTGTATTCAACAATTCAGAATTTACAATACATGAAGCTCCATTGATTTTTGAAGCAATATTTATAAGTTTCTCATCTTTTCATCAAATTATGATTAAATTAGCATATTCAATAGAAATGTGTGCAATTTTAATTTTATTTATTTACCTCTTTCCAATGAAGGATGAACATTGAAGATGAAAATTCCAATAAATATAGAAATTATTTTCATGTCTATAAAGTAATAACAAATTGAAAACTGTGAGAGGAAAATGCAAGAAATTTCTCTTAAAAAGTCTTTCCAAAATGTATCAATACATCATTTCATAAATAAGTAATTCATAAAAAATTAATTTCAATGTATTGATTATGATATAAATATTCCAACTTGTATACTATTCAGTTAGTTAGTTAGTTCTTTCTAACTTGAAATGAACAATTCTTTGTTCTCAATGAATTACTTTTTCTTCTTAGCAAATTGATCTTTTTGTTTCTTTATTTCTTGTCATATAGCTATTTGCATACAAGTCTTCTATTAATTTTCTTTCTTCCATTGTTAAAAGACATTCGACATCTTATGGTTTTTTAAGCGACGATCAACAAACATATAATTATTCCTCAGATCAATAAATGGAAAATTTTTAATATATTTCTACAAAACATGTATTTTTTGTCAAGAAATAAATATTTTGTTTTCATTGCTATGGTGGAGCAACTCATTCCAATTTCAATCATTATATAAGTATTTACAAAGATAGACAATGAATAGAGAAGGTTATTTATTTTCAATAAATCATTAGAATTATTAATTAATATGAGTGGTATGGGCTTTTTTTTGTTTATCTGTATGTGACGTTTGTCCTATTTGACTTAATTACAAGACACTAACCAATTGAACCTTTATAAGATTTTGTTTTTCGCTTATAGCACGAAATTCCTAAGGATTTCGTATAAATTTTATTTGATATTCTTTTGGTCTCTCACACCGTTCTATTACATTCACTCCCTTTTATACTTTGTTAGTGTCACTTAATTGGGTGTTTGACTGTGCTCATCTGTATTGCCACATTCATGCCACGTTCATGCCACGTCGTTATCAACGATGTGACATAACATCAAGTTGGACTGTCCCAACTCTGGGCTAAGTCAAACTCCCTTCTTAAGTGACGCTCAGACACTGACGCTCACACACTAACACACATTCACTCATATCATGTAATGTGAACGGAATGTTAGTATATAACATTCTGTTTACTCTCCCACGAACAGTAGTTCTCCAGCAGCCCTGATAAGTGGGCCCCTTGCTGTATTCAACTTGCACTTTCTCGTGGCTCCATCATGACTAGGTATGATTTCTGTTAGTACTCCAGTCACCCATCTATGCCTAGCTTTTTGTTTGTCAGTGACTAGGACCTTGTCTCTGACTTGCAGCTTTCTTCCTCCCTTCGTTCTCTGCTGTTGTCTGACCAGCTCTTGCAGGTAGATCCTTTTCCATTGTCGCTGTATCTCGTTCCAACACTTCTGACTCCATTTGCTTTCATTCCAACATAGCTCCCGTTGTCTCTTCTTTAGTAAATTGGGTGTTACCAATATCTGGTCAGGGTCATCTGCTGTAATGGCTTATCGTTTATTACCTTCTCTACTAGCGACCACAGTGTCTGCCATTTCTGGTGAGACCAGCAATTGTGTAGATATGGTTTGGCCAAATATTTAGCTGCCTTAACTACTACCTCCCACACGCCAATAGGTCTCCCTTAAGATTACTCTCATTCTAGCCAGGGGAGCGTGGCAGTTTTCCTCATGAATCCTTTTCACCATCAATTTTCCAATCGTCGACTTTCCATCCAAGATCCTAGGGTTCTCAAGGTAGCTCTCCTTCTTCCCCAGTCATCGGAGTTGGATTCTCATTCCGTCCTGTCCCCTTGTTATCACATATTTTGCCAGTCTTTTTGGGTTTATCTCCATTTGAGCTTCGCATATGGCTTTCTCTACTTCCAGGTTGACGTCATTTACATTGGTCAGCTCCTTCCCCGCTCTCTGGGATAAGAACTTTGCAAAGTCCTGCTCATTATCAGCTGGTTTTTTCAGCAATAGTACCTTGCATGGCTGTCCTTGTTGTGTCATTGTTATTTCTCTCTTTGAACATTTGTCATACTTTTCCTGGTTGAATTTTACTGGTATTTTAGTTAACCAATCTGCTGGGTTATTTTCGCTCTTTGCATGGTGCCACTGATCTGGGTCTGTGTACTGCCGTATCTCCAGTACCCTCGTTCGTGCATACTTTTCCATTGGGATTTCGTCATTCTTGATGTACCTCAGTACCACTTCCGAGTCTGTCATAAATAGGGCAGGCCTTCTCGCCACCCCTGTTCTCACCTCCAGTGCCAATCTCACCCCTTGTAATGCTGCAGCCAGCTCACGCCTTGGCATTGTTTTCATGGCTGGTCTAGCCATCAAGGCCTTTGACCTCAGTATCATTTCGGTTCCATTAGCATATGAGTAGATTGCCACTCCCAACATTGTATCTGAGGCGTCTGTGTAGATGTGGTACCCTTTGGAGCTCCCGGCATAGTGAGCTATATTTAATTGTCCAGGCAACCTGGCTACTATTGTGTTCCAGTCTCTTCTCTTCTCTTCTGATATTTCCTCTTTCCAATGGCTCATGCCTTTGCTGAGTTGTGAAAATGTGAGCCTTAATTTGCTAGTCACAATGTTTATTAGTCCAAGGGGATCATAAATGCTTGCCACTGCCCCTAACATGTCTCTCCAAGTAGCCTTGAGCTCTAACATCTTCTTTTGTATTATCCAATACAGTTTATCCTCCTTTCCTTCATATTTAATGCCCAATACCTTTTCTGGGTAATCATAAATTCTCCTTTCAGGTGGGATGATCTTTCTAATTTCTATCAAGTTCATTGCCAGCTCGGTAAGTGTGAAGTAGCTATCGAGAGCCTTCAACACCTTCTCTAACACTTCCCCTAGGTAATCTTCGTCATTGGATGCCAATATAAGGTCATCCACATAAAAGCTTCTTGTTATCTCTTCCCTCTCCTCTCTTGACAAGTGAGAGGCCTTCAACACCTTTCTCAGGGTTGCTGATACTACATAAGGACTATCTTTTGCCCCAAACACATGTCTTGTCATGAGATACTCTACTATATTGCCTCTTGACTTTGGCTTTCCAGGGGGCCAGTAAAGTAGACCAAAGTACTGTTGATCCACTTCTTTAAGGTTTACTTGGTGGAACATCGCTTTTATGTCTCCTATTAGATAGTGCTTCCCACTCCTCCAATTTGTCAATGTAGAAGGTATGTCTCCCACTAACCTCCCGCCTGTTGATATTGTATCATTAACACTCCTCCCATAGTATTTTGCTGCGCAATCATATACTATTCGCAATCCTTTCTTATTCGGATTCGCTATGCCATGATGTGGTATGAACCATTTTATTATGTCCTTTTCTCCCTTTCTTCTTGCGTAACCCTTGTTTATGTAGTCCATGATGCCTTCATCATATTGTTCCTCATACTGTTTATCTCTTGTGAACCTTTTTTGTAGGCCCTCCAACCTTTTGTATGCCATGTATCTGTTACACCGCAGCTCCTTCTCATCACCATTGAACAGAATGGGGGCGTATACCTTTCCATCCTTGAAGGATATGTTCTTATCCAATTTTTCTACCCATTCTTCATCTCTTAGAGTTAGCTTTTGTTCCTTTGAGCTATCCCCCTTTAATATCAAAGATACTTTCGCCTGCCTCCCTTTTTCTAATTTCTGTCCTGTTATTGACCATCCTAGTTTTGAAAGCATGGCAATTGGCTCATTCACATCTCCTTCCAATATTGTCCTGGGTGCAATCAAGTCTGCAGAGTTGCATCCTAACAGCAGGTCTACTTGTCTGCGTTCCAGTTGTGGGATGGGGATGTCCTTTAAATATGGCCATCTCTTTCGTTCTTCTGTAGTTATAGCATTTTGGCTTATTACAGCGATCTCCGGGTATTCTAAAGCTTCCAGGCATCTTCCCTTGATTTCAAACTCATACCTCATAGCCTTGTGTTTCTCTACTCTCCACATCATTGCGAGTTCGATTTCCACTATCTCTATAGGCCTCACATTTATTCTTTTTGCCGCTTTCTCCGTGATGATTGACATGTCTGCTCCAGTATCCTGTATTATTACTAGGTTGCCCTTTTTAGCAGTTTTAATGGAGAATATTGAGAACCCCATGAGGAAGATTCATAAGAAATTACCTCTATTAATGGAATCTCTTTTGTAAAAGTATATTTATTTTCAATCAAATATTCCTTTCCATATATTAATAATTCATATATTTTATCATAAAAAATCCAGAAATGCTATTTTCTTGTTCGTAAAACAGATTTGGACACCATTACTGTAAATGAAAATTTAGAAAATGAGCACATCATTCCATGTTATAGAAACGGAAGTAAGAATAATGCAAAGAGACTACTAAAACAGCAATTTATACTTTTACAACCGAAGACGATTACAATAACATTTAAATTGGATTCTAGACGTCCGCATTCGAATTTATTTTAACTGCTTTGCTAATTTTTAGTTGTGTAATTTGTAATTAAAAAATAATGATTTTATTAAAAAAAGATGTTTAAAAACACATTTTTTCTTATTTTTCCTTATCTTGGAGTAATTTGAAAAAGAGTCCTTTTTTCTCTTTCAGTTCTTCAATAGTTCCTAGTTCTGCTATTGTTCCTCGATCCATAACAACTATTCTGTCACTATCCATAATTGTATTTAATCTATGGGCTATGGTTATCATTGTACAATCTTTAAATTGAAATTTCAATGTAGTCTGAATTCGATTGTCTGTTTCCATGTCTACATTAGCAGTCGCCTCATCAATCACAATTAAATATGAATGTTTTAGCAAGGCTCTCGCCAAACAGACTAATTGCTTTTCTCCAATGCTTAAATTTTTTCCTCCTTCTATCACTGTTGCATTTAATTGGTCTTTTAAATCTCTGACTTTTTTTGACAATTGAACTTTATGGAGAGATATCCAAATTTCATCATCGGTATATCTGTTGTAGGGATCTAAATTCGTTCTAAATGTCCCTGAAAACAATATTGGATCTTGTGGAATGATGGATATAACTGATCTTGCTCTTTGGAGACTAACATCTCTAAGTATATCAACATTGTCTAATAATATTTGACCTTCAACATTAGCCATTTGTAAAATGGCTGATATAAGAGAACTTTTACCAGCTCCAGTTCTCCCAACAACGCCTATCTGAAAAAGCGAAAAGAACTT